TTTCAGAACAGAACAGATCAGTCTGACCCAGGAGACATAGCTGTAGTCTCAAAGTGACTTAGAAAATTATTATTGTTAGAAAATTATTCCACACATGAGATTTAGAAAGATAAGTTCTCGTTCCTCAGAATGGGCGTAATTGAATGCTTATTTCTTTTCTTGAGTTCTTGAAGAGTGGCTTTCTTAGCATGAATGCCAAGTCCTCATTTTAGGGTGTAATTTAAGCTGAGTTCCACACAGGAGCCTGAATGCATCAGTCTAATTGAGTTACAGGAGAACACTGTGATGGTTTAGATTTTTGCTTTCACTGGAGGGGAGTTCAGAGAAAACTTGAGTAAGCTTTTTGGCCTCAGTTGCTTAACATCCCAGCCACATGACCTTGCAGTTTGAGAAGCTCTTCTCTATTAGACTGATGCCTTAGTATTACTTTTTCTCCATGTAAAACTTTTTACTCCCAACATATGGGAGTTTTATGTGAAATAATTTAGGGAAATAATAAGGAAATAATTTTAAATGGCTTATTTTTAACAGAAGTAAACATGTTTACCTCATTACTGTGGCCATTGTGTAGACTATGTGTTCCTAGTCTTTAGAAATAAGTAAATATTTATTTTGCTGAATCTGTTTTTCAAAGCCTGATTCATAAGCTGTCCATTAATCACATAGAACTCAAATCTGGGCCTTGGCATTTGTTTCCAGAATTCGTGGTGTTTTGTGTCAAGTCACATGTTCATGGTATCTATAATTTACTTTCTATACAGTTTAAAGCTGATTTGTTTTGTAAAACATGATGTGTAATCCATATGCCCTTGGGAATCTGTTCACCCGTCTTCCCACCAGTTTAGTTCTAGAACTGGCTCCATTGACAGTCATATTTTGGACTGAAAGAAGGAGATAAAATTCAGGTCTTTGCTTCTGGAACTCATCCCAGATTTCAGCTACTAATACTTTGGGTGTATTAATTGTTGTGAGTTTTGTGAAGAACACCTTCTATGCAGGCTGCTGTGTATTCATGATTTTGCCTCAATCCAAGATCAAAATTTAATTTCTTTCACTTCTCAGTAACTGCTGAGTATGACAATTTGAAGACCCAATTTAGGGTCTGTTGAAAGGAAGAATTTTTTTACTGGCAGTTTTACAGAAGTAGCAAAAATTCTTAAATAAAAGCCGATATCTATATAAAAATACGTATGTCTGAAATGAAAACCAAAAAAGCTTTGTCAACCTGTTACTAATACTGTGTCGCAAATTATGTCTTAAAATTGTTGTACAGAGCAGAATGTCTTGCCTCACACTCCTTGAGAGGGTGAGTGTTTCTGTCTGGTTTTTTCTGAGGATTCAGGGCAATATAATCCATTAATTCCGGCAGGCCATTATTTATGCCTTAGTGAATGATTGGGAAAATTCCCATCCTGGCTGAGAAAATTTAACTTTCGTTTAACTTTGCTTTTTGGAGAATGGCTTGCTTGGTCTACATTACATGTAAGCTGATTCACCTGGGCTTGAAGCTGAAGTCCAGGATAAAGAGATATGACTTATCAAGGAGGATAAGGATTCTTGAGCTTCTCTGTAAGACAGAGCTGCAAAGGTGCAACTTTCTGACATTACATTTGGGCTGTCCTAGCTTCTAGTGTGGGAAGCCAGTCCAACTGTTTTATCCTTTCCTCCTCCATCTTTGGCTACCCGACAAGCAAAGCTTCCAGCAATTTTCTTCTGGTGGGGAGTCAAATATTTCATGTGAAGCAGCAGGAGCCTGGCAGTATAAAAACCTTTGATGGCCAGTTGGGGAAAGCTTGAGTGTCAGGAAAGCTTTATCTGTTGGGCTGTGTTATTTCAAGCAGTGATGCTATGATTGCCCCACCAGGTCCCTGGAATCTGATGCTTTGGCCAGGTCTCCTCAACAGAACCTCAGCTTGCTTTTTGCCATATTTAATGCTGTACTGTGTTCACTCTTCCTGTCTTGTTGACTCACATTCACTTGACTTCTTTGCATAATACTTGCCAAAATTTGGTGCATTTGAACATGTATCTGTATTGGGAAAGCTATCGGTTGCTCCCTCACTTATCAGGATGATTACTGGCTCATTTAATTTCTAAGTCACCTGATAATTTCCAGTCAGAAATATGTTTAGAAGCATGCATTAATCTTGTTGAGTCCCCCAAGGTAGTTGTTCAAATGACTTAAATGAATGCTGCATTGACTTGGAGCTTTACAAATAGAAAATTGGAGAAGAGGTCAGAGACAAAATAACTGAAGATTCAGAGTGCAGAGATTTGCTAGTGCTTGAGGAGGAATGTTAAAAATCTGAATTTTTCTTTTTCATTTTTTTTGTCTGAGTAGAAGTAATTCTTCATTGATACATCTTTCACTGAGGACATTTGAGAAGTTTGTGGTTTGAAGGCTGATAATTGTACAAGGATCATCCAAAAGACAAATTCAGTTTGGTGAATAGGTGTTTAATCATAGCGCAGATGACAATGTTCTGAGGTGCTAGGCAGATAACAGAGTTTCTTTGTCTGCTATGAGTAAAAACTTGTGATGTGTCCCAGTCCTTCTTAAAAAAAACCAACAAACCAAGCAAGAAAATCAGAACAGAAAAGAAGTTGCCGATATAATATCAAGATATTTATTGCAGAGTTCAAGTTCATAGGAAGTCAATGAGGGGAAAAGTGTTACAGTGAAAACCATTCTCATATCAAAATATTAAAAAAGCCCAAATTTTAAATGTAAAGCTCTGCTAACCAGAATATACACATGTTCTTATCTTCTGTCATATCTTTTTTTTTTCCTGTCTGATCTACCACTAATCATCACCAGGATGGGGAAAGAGGATCATCATCCCTATCATGTATACTTTATTGAACATCTGTGAATTAATAATGCTAATGATTAATCTGGCATCTTTAGGTTTCAGGTTTAATGCCTCTGTTGAGAGTAAGCAGTGACCATTCAGAACCCTCATGGATATTGCTCCTGGTGCTTTACTTTACATCTGGAGGAGGGGGTTGGTCTACAGAAATGCCCATATATACATGAAAATCTGGTACTTCTGGAATGAATAGGAGCTCTCTCACTGAGGCAGGAGTTGCTGATCTAGGAAAGGCAAGCTGGAAATTTGAAGAAGCAACATGATTGCAATGAATTATATTCCCTCTTTCACAGACATACAAATGTAATTACTTTAATATACTGATGTATGGAGAGAAGCAGTACTTTCAGCATGGAAGAGAAACAGTTTATGGTTTATGCTTTAAGCTCAAAATCCCCCCCAAATACAAATTTCAGTATATTGTTTGTAGTCACTCTGCTTTCTCTAAAAATCAGCAGAAGCAAGTTGTGCAGTTCTTCATGTAATGTAGCATGGATTGTAGGCTTCCAGAGCCAGATTAGCTCATAGCCTGCTGGTTGGTCTAAGCACTGTTTTGAGCATCTCTGCCATGAGGTACCTTTTGAGTTCACAACTGGTCCTCTATTTCCTAGGACTTCCACAGTTCAGTTGATGAACTGTCTGCTTTCAAATGTCAGAAAGTGCAAAATCTTGTCCTTGAGCAGATGAGAAGGAACAGGCAGAATATCCTGACTCCTCTATGAAGTACTCTTACAAGTTGATGTAACTCCTGTGGGAGCGCAGAACTGCTAACGCAGCAGGTGAGACACAGCCTCTGCTGAGGACTTGATATTCCAGAAAAATAGGCAAGTTCAGGTGAATTAATGGAATTGAAGTTGTTAGTGTGTCTCTTTCCCCAAGCCTGGTATGCCTCCCTCTATTTGAGCAGAATTCAGGCCTGTTTAGTCTCAGCATTGATCACAACAGGATATCTCAGTGTGTCTGTCATCAATGCCCAAATAACGGGAGCTGTTTCCTTTCTGGTAGCAGAGACAAGGGTCAGAAAGGAGACTTGTGCTTCCAGCCTCCTGCATGAAGATGGGAAAGCTGTTGAGTTCAAAGTTTCCAAAAAATTAGTTTAAATTTATGCTGGAGAGGCTGCTGTGGACCTGGTGCATAGTTGTGAGATGTGCAGTGATGTTGTGTGACTCATGAGCTCACTGCAAGTGCTGGTGGTCTGAAGTCAAGTCTGCTGCACATGCACACATCCTTTCAGCATGTGTGTTTGTTTAGGCATTTGTTTAAGTTTTTAAAAGCTCTGAGCCTTTGCCAAGGCTTCTGGGCTCGCAGCTTATTTCAAAATCAGAAGGCTGATGGCTAAACATAGACTTAGTTTCTTGTGTTGAAAAGATCCCTGTTTGCATGAATCAGTGCTCCGGCCCTATAAATGAAGGAAGGCATGAATATTTACTTTCCTGACAGAAATGTTGCATCATTAATATCTGTTTTTCTCTATTAAATATTCTTGTCCTTTTATATTTAGTGCTGAATAAAAGAGACTTGTTAATGTGAGAGCAGTGACTTTTCCCAGGAACAGCAGCTCAGGATTTCCCTGGTTGGAGGTGTGATGCTAATGCAACGGTGCCTCATATCCCATTGCTCTGTTTCTTCCAAAAGCCTCAAAAGAGGCAATTATGTTCTTTTGAAATGTTGGTAATGATGTTAATGCTCTGTAGGCTTGACTTGGTCGGTCAGACCAAGGAAAATACTTTGAACAGTGAATTCATGTTTATGTGTCTTATGAAACACAGCAGAGTCAAGTGAGGTAGTGCTCAGCTCTAAGCATAGTGAAGGGTAGTGATGTAGAGTATTAGGCAGTATTTCTCAAGCCTGTCTGAAACTTTGGACACAAATTGTCAGGGCTGTGGCTTTGTTTTATAGCCATTTTTGGTTCCTGGGCTTAGTGATGTGCTCAGCCTTGCAGCAGTTTTTTATTTAAGTAGGATCTGTCCTGTAGCCTTTAGATCATTCATTTGGCAGTTACTTGTAAGATTTTCTGGTTTGCCCTTTCACCTTTTTTCTTTATTCCCTCTTAATAAATAGGTGAATGTTATATCAGTAATTTGCCATGTTGTGAACTTAAGATTTGAATTTTTATCTTGTGTGTTGCAGCTGGTGCTCAGGATAAAATTGGCTGGGCATTTGGCTTGGGTTTGGAGAGGCTGGCCATGATCCTGTACGATATCCCTGACATCCGACTGTTCTGGAGTGAAGATGAACGCTTCTTGAAACAATTTATTGGGCCTCACATTTGGCAAAAAATAAAGTTCCAGGTAAAATAACATATATATGATAATAATTTGCTGTAATGTATATACATCCCTAGTGAATATTACATTATTAAAATTCTGTGTCATTAAAAGATTAGGTTTTAAAGCAACAGCTTTACAGCTATCATGATTCTCTGATGTACTGCTGTAAAATCCAGCTTTTGATAATAACATTTTTTCCAAACAGATAATGTTGCAAGTTCCTGCTGATACCCAGTCAACATCCCTGTTTTGAGTAATGCTTAAGCACATATTTAACTTTTAAATATATCCATAATAGGGATTGATTTAGGCCTGTAGTTTGGATTTGTTATTGTTTAGTTATGTCCTTGAGTTGAGTCCATGATTCTGTTTCATTATGAATATTTGTTTGATGCAAAGCATTCAAAGGTCATAACATATTCTCAATATTTCCCATTGTTTTCACTCTACAATCATTGATGTCAATGTGAGTTGCAATGTTAACCTTTGGCAAATTCTTTGCCATCTTCATTGTCAGCTCCTTTCTCCTGGCATTGCAGGGGAGAAGAGTGCAGGCCCTCCTTGTATTTGTTTTGTAATTCTGCCGTGGTGATTTTTGTAGTTAGCAACCTCATCTTGCTTTTTGTACTTACAAAGCAACCAGGCATGACTGGATTGAGTGGAAATGCTACTTCCATAATACTCTTCAGCAGGAGCACAGGGAGGTTCAAGTCAGGTGGTGTCAGCTGGTCTTTGGGGGAGTTGAGCTACATACATGCTTGACAAAGTCTGAAATGCTAAAGCAGTAAAATAATTTGTGCAGATGCCTTTTACCATTTAGTTTGGTTTCTTTGTGTACAGCTTGATTTTTTTTTTTAAGAATTGTAGTTATTAAAGGGGAAATCAACAGTGATAGATGACATTTGAGGAGTCTCCACATCAGTAGCAGCATCCATCCATTTGTTTTTTACTTCATGGCAATTCTCACATATCTTGTTTAGTAGCATCAAAATACAATGGGGGATAGTTTTGGCTTTTTTGGTTTGGGTAGGGACTTGGGGAATTTGGTTGGTTGGGGTTTTTTTATTTGTTTGTTTGGTAATAATGGGCATTAGTGTATTCAGCTTGTAGTTAGTTATCTTACAGAAAGACAGGTTTTTGCCACTGTTCCTGAAGGTGTGTCTGCTTGTAGGTTTCCTTGATCTCCTAGAGAATGCTTGTTGTTCATTTCAATAAAAAATGCTCAAGTCTCCTTTTCAGCCCCCATTTTTCTGATTGGCTTTGCTCCTGACCTCGTGGCTTGGTTTATAGATTGCAATCTGTTGGAGCTAAGATGAGATTTCTTGCTTGCTCTAAAACTGTGGATCCAGGCTTCCAACTGATATTAGTGGTAGATTGGGCTTTTGGGGAAAGGCCCAGATTGTTGGAATGCTGTGGACTGATGTTGAAGGTGAGTCAAAGAGAGGGGCTGGGTGTCTGACTTCTCTAAGTTGTATGTAGTTTTCATGTTCAGTTAGGTAAGTCAGGTGTAGTGAAGCAATCTGAAGAGGACGAAGGCACAGGTTACTGTAGATAAACTCAGAGTAAAGTACATCATTTCTAGGAAGCTAAATGTGATTTTTTTTTTAATTGGTGCTCTTTGGTAGCCTTAGTTTTGGTTCTTTCTCTCTTCTAGAAAAGGGTATGGCCAATGTTTTAGAAACATATTTTTTTCTCTGATATCAAGTACTGCTTAGGGACTTTTTAATTATTATTTGTTTTATTCTTTTTTCTTCTTTTTTTTTTCATTTTTCCCCCTTTCCCTTTTAATACATACATACCTACTAGACTTGGATGTTTCATCTTCAGTTTTGTTAATTCTCCCCAGCTCTTAGTTTACATTGTTCAATTCTGTATCTGAATCTAAGAGAATAGAGACAAGCTTGGATTTTTGTTTGAAAGCAAGTCTATATCCAGTTTTCATCTGGTATCTTACATTGAGCTTTTTTGAGGTCTGTGCTGTACATACTTCTAGTCCATACTGGCATTGCTTTTTAAAGGGTTAATGACCCTTCAAATGAAAATACTATGAAATACTCTTCAGTTCTACCATAAGATCTCCATTTTTTTCTTCTGTTCTGTGTTATTTATCAGGTATGCTGTAAAACCAAATTAGCAGACCTTCTGTTCCTGTCTGCTTGCTAAAGAGTCATAATTAATGAATCACATGGTTTATTCATATGACATTTGAAAGAAAACTTTTACCCTGTCTTCCAGTGTGGATGTTGTAAGAAGTCTCAATGGATGTTTTAAAAGTGTCAGATTTTCTGCATGCAAGGCCATGCAGTACTTTTCAGCCTGACTTAACTGAACAAAGGGTTTTGAGAGCCTTTCATGACAGAAATTGAATCCTGTGGCTCAGAAAGTCCAGGTAAATGTCCATCCTTTATGTGATTAACTGAGAGAGACCGCTTAACCTTTGGGTGCTCCCCCAAATCCTTATAATCAGAATATGGTCCACCAACATAAATATTTTTCTTTCTCTTCTTTAAAATGTTCTTCAAATACATGAAGTCCACACGACATAGCAGTAACCTTTAGCTGGGCTAAATATACTCTTGTTCCAAAACTGCATTTAATTGGAGCATTTTCTTGGGACTTAGGGTATATGTCTTGTGCATTTTAATAGCCTGGATGTGTCAGACTTTTCCCTTTGTCATCAGTTGCTCAGTACATGTGTGCAGGCTTCAGTAGGTCAAAAAGTTCTGGCAAAAGCTGACAGTGCTTGTACCACTGTGGCTGCTCAGCACAGCAGTGTTGGAGTGCTGCTCCCCACAGATCAGATTATTGCCTGGATTTGGATTAGCAAATCACTTCAGCTCTAATTTGACACAAGTGACAGCAGTGTGGGGATCAGGGTCTGGTAACTTGCTTTCAATTGTTTGTATAGGGCTTTTTCTCAGGTTGTGGAATGAAAGGCTGAGGATGGGCAGGGCAGGAAGCACCAAGAACCTGCAAGGCACAATGTAATAAAACAAACAGCTCAGTTCCGATCTGTTCTGCTGTGTTATGTCTCTGTTTGCCCTGAGCACAGTTCCATGTAATTGCTTTCTGGTTTATGCTGAGCCAGCATTCTTACAAAAAAAAAAAAATAAATGGACTGACAACTCTCAAGGAAAGGTACAAAAATGAAGAGAAGGTACATTTAGAGAAGGAAGGCACTCACAGTTCAGATGTAGTGTGGTGAGCCCAGAGGTTTGGATTAAGAAGAAAGGTCTCTGGCAGCAGGGTGGATCCTGGAGCCTCTATAATTTTGCTATCAAGGCAAGCAAGTGCCACATCCTGTCAAGTGACTCCTGGTAGGTTCTCCCTTCACAAAGTCACTTTCATTTGATGCTGCCAGTGTCTCTGGTTGCTGTTGTTTTAAATAGTTATTTATTTTGATTGCTGAGGAGCCCTGTGGCCTGCACTGAGGTCCAGCAGAAGCATGATTATGGCTGTTTTGGCACTGGTACAGAAGGAAACTGGATCGGATTTCTAGCAAAAGTAGACTTCCTCTGTGAGTTTATGGGAATTACAGTCTTCTGGATTTCCTAATTTCTACATTATCTGTAACATTCTTCAATATCTGCAATAAGCCTAGCATCACCTGTTTTTTATCACCCCTTCCATCATCTCCAGCAGCTGGTCATTCCTAGTGTCTGTTGGCACATGCAGTCTCTTAAAATTCAATTCCTTTATAATTACCTGGTAGCTTCAAAACTCGAAATAATAGACTTTCTAAGCAGGGTCATTTTAATGGCTCCAGAAGAGAAAAAGCTCCTGGAGCAGCACTGCTGGAGACCTGATGGGATAGTAGCCTTCTGGAAGTGGGGTGAGGAGACTTGACAAACAACTTGAACTGACACTGTTCACCTCCTGCACAGCTGTACCCAGAATAGTGTATGTGGCCCTAATCCAGGACACTCATTCTGCTTTGAAAATTGAACAACTGAGGATAACAAAGATGAGGAAATGTACATAATCAAAAAGATGTAGTTGTGTGGAAAGAAGCGATACATTATACTGGAAAGGAAATCAAAGCAGGCTCCTCTCCCTCCTGTGCTAGATAGCAATGCTGTAATGACAAAGGATTTACACAATAGCCCAGTTTGCACTGTTTGCTGTGTATGTGAGCCCTCATGTTCACACCAATAGACAGTGCAACTTTTCTGCCTTACTGTGCACTTCTCAGTTTTCAGGGACAGTAATCATCCCTGTGCATCTTTCCTGTGCACAAGCCTGATGGTTGCTGGGAGACACAGAGCTTGTTCTGAAGCTTTAGAAGATGCTGAAAATAAAATGCACTGTCAAGTGTAAGGGGAAACTCCAGCAAATTAAACCATCCTAGTCTATATCCTTTATTCCATGCTTGAGAGGGAAAGCATCTAGACTATATACCATCCATTTCAACCAGTTTGATCTTATTGCATTCACTGCACAGGGTGGGTCTGTCTGATCCATCGTTAGTATGCTACTCCATATAATTTATATTTATCTTCTTAGTTTATTATTAGTGTTATTTTCAAATAAAAATTAAATTGATTCCCTGGTTGCTGCATTTTCAGATATTTTTCATCAAGATTAGGTGACTCCATGCTAAAATGGTTATTCATTTATTATGTTTATTTTCTAATAGTGCATCTATTAAAGCCAAATATGCAACCATTAGTAAGTAAATTTAACTTGGATGTTTGAACAAATAAGGTATAGCTTCAACTGTAACTTATTGTATAAATAGTTTTAATGTAATTGAAGATATATAATGTGTGTGTCTGCATGTGGAGGTACAATAGAGAATAGATGATGATGTTGTAGCATAAACATTTTATTGGCATGATTTTGGGAAGGTTGAATATCTAAGAGTGACTTACATAGATCATCTTAAGAAAAGGTCAATAAAATCTTACAGTGCTTTATATCATCTCAGGTTTGTCCGTGTGCTCTGCAGAACACCATGAAACTCCTTTTTTATTGTAGGATGTGCATGGAAAGTGAGCAAAAATACCTTCTTCATTGCAGAG